ACTACAACCGTTTCCTGTTCGGAATGCAGCCCCATTCCAGCCTCCGTGCTCCTTAGTGGGAACCTCAACCCAGCTAGGGTGTCCCCTTAGCTCCCTAACCAGGCCTGTTCCCAGCCATAGATTGCATGCATGCCAGTAGTTGCTCTGACTCAGCTTGGCAGAGCCCCTCACCTTTCCCGGCCCCTGCTTTAGATGCTATGGCTTAGCGTTCCTGGCAGACCAGTAGGTGCAAGAGGCTAGCTTGGCATGACCTGTGCTCCATCCTGATTTCTAATTTTGCTTGTGGGCTAAGGTTTGCTCAGTCCTGCCCAGTCAACCCTGTTGCATTACCAATCCACACATTAGCCAGCCATTGGAGCTATTTTGCCCAGCTTGTCTGACCCCCAGGTCTGGAACCATGTGTTCACCAGCGGGAGCTTTGACCCACCCGGGGAGTTTCTCAAGTTCCTCCACTTGACCCACTCCTGGACCCAGTTCTCATACATGCCAGTGGGTTTCAGGCCAGTGTCTGGCCTAGTCTGGCCTTCCATTTGAGCAATGGCAGGCTTCTTGGTCCAACTAGCTTTAGTCCATCACCCCTTCAACTCTTGAGCTAACCAGTGGGGCTAATAGTTCCACAGGGTTTTGGCCCACATATCCCCCACAGAATCTACCCCCGGATATGGTTCTCTCATGTGCTAGTTAATGTCATGGCCCTGCATAATATGACCTGTTTCCTGATTCAACATCATGTCAGATAATAGGATATTATCCTGCTGGACAGGCCCTGAGCCTTAGTTTTTGCATGAACTGGTGTTCGGTGGTCGGCATTGTTCAGTAATTACAAGTTCTACACACAGGATTTAAAGGAGTTTGGTATATTAGTCTTATCCTTAAAGATCATCTGGTCCCTCTCCTCCAACCAACCAATGAGGTCTCACTTACCTTCAAAGGGAAAGTTACTCTGTTGTTGGGAGTCTTTAAGATTGATTCACATCCCAGAAGTACAGTGGAGCTGTACTTCTTGACATGGAGCTACCTAAGCAGCAATTCAAAGAACCAAAACCCCAGAGCTGGCCGCTGGAGACAGCTCACCACCTGTACTTGGTGGCTGGAATTGGGGTTCCAAGCATGGAGACAGTCCCGGCCTGGCACCCACCAGCAGGCTGCTGGAAGTTTTAACCCCCAGACCCCAAGGTCGCCCCCTCCCCAATCCCATCCACCACGCAATGATGGCAGCAGGTGGGGCCCAGGCCCACCCAGTCCTTCAAACTTAGCCTTTCGGTGTACTCACCATGAAGGGAGCAGTCTCTGGAGTCGGGCAGGCCCAGGGACAGGTCACCACGTGGACACAGTGGCTGGAATCAGGGCTCTGAGCATGGGGATGATCCTGGCCTGGCACCCATCAGCAGCCACTAGGCTGCTGGAAGTTTAAATCCCTGGGTCCCAAGTTCACCCCCTCTCTAATCCCATCCACTCTGCCATGATGGTGGCAGGTGGGGCCCAGGCCCGCCCAGTCCTCCAAACGTCCGCCTTCAGTGTGCTCACCATGAAGGGAGCAGTCTCTGGAGTCAGGCAGGCCCAGGGACAGGTCTGCGCATGGATTTGGTGGCTGGAATTGGGGCTGAGGGGGTAGTCACCACCCTGTAGCTCTCAGGGTCAACAGAGAGGAACATGGGAAAGCGACGAGCTAGGAGCCCTCCAAGGCCAGGCCTGCCAGGGACCGTTCACCACCTGAGATCTCTCTGAACCCAGACTGTGTGCAGCGGCCAGCAGGTCGCCTCTGTACAAGACAAGGTGGTTTTTCTCTGCATTCCTGTTCAGCTTGACAAACTACTTGGTTAGTACCATCAGTCCAACCAGGAACCAGAGGTTGGACTTTCATTTTAACGTGTTGGAATTTTACTTACATTTCATGGTTTTTACTTAAAATCCCTAGCTGTCTCTTCTCAAGAAAGATCAGTATAGTTGCATTTCCCTACCCCCATCCAAGCCTATTGGAAATGTGGAATCTGGAGCCGCGCCCCAAATGTCAGAACTAGCCTCTGTATTTCGATTTCCCCATGTGAAAGGCTGCCCTGTCCACCTGGCTGTCTGCCCTGCACCCCCTCTCTCCTGCTCACTCTCCACATGTGGTGGCCAATTCCCGATACCTTTGACCCACCGCTGCCTTCTACTGCCCCTGCCCCCCATGCTACTGTAGGCTTGCATGCAGCAGCCACCACTGTCACCTTCTCTCCCGACACAGAATCATGCTGAAACCCCGCCAGCCTCCCACCTTCACACGCCTGCCCCTTCCCAGCAAAACGAGGCTGCTGAGAGACACAGGGCCAGTCCTACAGCTTGTCATTAGCCCCTTCTCCTCTGCCTGGAAACTTCTAGCACCTCCCTCTCAGGGCACTGTGGGTGGATGACTTTGACGTTGGTTCACTGGGAGGCTGAAGCTCTCAGACAGTCCTGGCCGGGTGTGGCCTGCAACTTGTCTTCGGCTCCCTGCTCCTGCGTGCGTATTTCCCTGCCATCCTAGTGCCATGGAGACCACCAGGCAGCTGTGCGCCTGAGGCTGGACCCTCTGCTGTATTCTGCACCCTCCCTCCTGACCCACTTGGGACGCAGCTGCAGAAAACGCCCCTGTCCGTGTCTCCTCACATGGCCCCTCACCCTTTAGGTCATTCTGCTTACTATAATGACCCAAGTCTTGGCCATTCTGTAAAGAAAAGAGGTTTTCTTAGCTCACAATGCTAGAGGTTCGATGCTGGCCGGGTCCAGGTGCAGCAAAGAACAGACTATGGCGAGAGACAGGGAGTGTGTGTGTGTGTGTGTGTGTGTGTGTGTGTGTCCACTTACATGCCACCAGGATTCTACCCTGACAACCTTATCTAACCCTAATCACCTTTCCCAAGGCCCTACCCCTAAACTCCAGTGTTGAATTAAGTTTCTCCCCTCTAGTACTTCGCAGTGGAGACTTAATTTCCACCTGTGCTGCCTTCAACCATGTCAAAATAGTACTGCCGAAAATAGTACGAGTACTTCCCGCTGGGGCTGAAGCATGTGGCCATAGCTGTCCACCTAAAACGCAAAGCCCAGTGGCCAGCACCGTGGCATAGCAGGCTAAGCCTCTCTCTGCAGCGCCAGCATCCATATGGGCACTGGTTCTAGTTCCTACTGTTTTACTTCCAATCCAGCCCCCAGCTACTGTGTATGGAAAGCAACACAGGATGGTGCAAGTCCTTGGGACCTGCACCCATGTGGGAGACCAGAAGGTGCTCCTGGCTCCTGGCTTCAGATCATTGCAGCCATGTGGAGAGTGACCCAGTGGATGGAAGTTCTTTCTCACTGTCTCTTCTGTGTAATTTGCCTTTCCAATAAAAATAAACAAATCTTAAAAAAAAGAGTAGAGCAAAGCCCTAAGACCTCATACTCTCTCCTGCCTCTACCCATCCCTTCACTCCTTTTCAGAAGCGAAATTAAAAAAAGTTGTCTGCCCTCGCGGTCGGCCTAGAGTCTTTCTAGAAGTCTTCCTGCGGCTCACTCTGGTCCCTATAGATTCTCCGTAGGATTCTTGGCTGGGGATGCTCCTCCGGTCTTCCCACTCTCTGGCGGAAGCAGCTGTTGCCCCGCAGGGGGTAACTCCGCGGCCTGAAGCTAAAGCCATGGCCGGGACACCAGCCCTCCTGTGGCGGTCCTCTCCCCATGCTCTGCTTGGCTCCCTGGTCTCTGGGCGCTGCTGCTTGTCCTGGGCCACGTCCGAGGTCACCTGTCCTCTGGGAGGAGGAACTCCCGAGCTTTTGCCGGCCCTGGGCACTCCCTCAACTCCAGGCTCCAGTGACAAGCTCCCAAGAAGGCAGCCCAGACCCCCGCCCCCTTCCCAGGGAAGCCCCACGCCCCTCCGTTCCTAGCTGTTTCTGTGGAAGTGTTGCAGAGTCGCGGGGGGGGGGGGGTGTCACCCAATTGCATTTTACAGGTGCTTGGGAAAGAAACAAAGAAACAAGCAGAACTGTCAGACCTGCCTTTCTAATGGGATCAGAACCCACCTCTTCTCCTGCCTCCCCTGCTCCCACTCAGGGCCCATACCCCCACCCCCTTTCTCTAGAACCCCATCCCGGCAGCCCCCACCCCCAGCCCGCGCCACCCCGTCGAAGGCAGTTCAGTCCTCACAGTCCAGTGTCAGCTCTGCTCCAAACCCTCTTAATCGCCCTTAGAGCGCGATCCCACCTATCCTGCCGCTCTTGGGGCTTGCTGGCCTCCAGGCCCCAGCACATCCACACTTTGGGGGGATGAGGTGGGGCTAGGGGACTTCTTCCTGCTCGCTTTCCCTGTGCCAGTGGCATACACAAAGAGCCAAAGCCCTCATTTTGTTCAGGCAGCTGCTCCCAGAGGAGAGCGAATAACAGCCTCCTGGGCCCTCTGCCCTGCTCACCCAGCCCTGTTTTCCCTCACCTGCAGTGCATACAGCAAGGGCTCAGAAAGGCTCTCGTGGCCAAGATAATCAGGGGCGGTATCTTTCTGTAACAGCCTGGAGTGGGTCTCCTGCTCAATTGCACGTCTGACTTTTCAGGAGTGTGCTAATCCTGCGACGGGGACCCGAAACAGACACATGCTGCAGCTGGATCTTAAACCCAAACTAGCGCACACCCTGTTACTTTAGGCACATCCCTTCCTGGGGTGCCATTCTATTCAAGCAGAAAAGAATCATTCCGCACAAAGCCGGCTCCGAGCGCTTCGCAGAAAAGAGCCTTTACTTCAGAAAGTCGTGGTTGAAAGCCGGCCTGTGGTTGCTTCAGCAAGGAGCTCAGCCGCGATCTGGAAGCGGCTGCTTGCAGGAAGAGGAACTTTTTTCCTCCCCCTCCCCCTCCCCTCCCCCTCCCCCCCCGCCCCCGCTTCTGCTTTTCTCCTCCAGCGCCGAGTCCTCCCAGTCGCCCGGGGGCGCCCGAGGCCCCTGGAGGCGTTGCGGCGCCGCCTGACGTCGTGCCCTGGGCGGCTGCGCAGTGCGCACGTCAAAGCCAGGCTGGGGCCGGGCGCGGGGCGCGGGCAGCATCGCGGCCTGGGCGATACTGACCCTTGCGGAGCCGGGCTGAAGGCGGACGCCGAGGCGGTGCCGGGCCCTGCAGCAGCCGCAGCCGCCACAGCGCGAGCGAGCGCGGGAGCCTCCGGGCCACCGTCCGCCCGCGCCGCCACCGCCGTCGGGAGCCGGAGCGGGCGGAAGACAACGGAGGGGCCGAGCGCCCGAACCGCACCGCGGGCACAGAGCGAGCAGCCCGAGGCGGCGGTGGCCGCCGACGACGGGGACGGCGACGACGCGGAGGCCGAGAGGGAGCCGCCCGGCCCGGCCCAGCCCCGTGAGTGACCCGGCTTCCGCCGGCCGGCCGGCCGCACACCAGCCCCCCGGGCTGCCTCCATTTTCTCGGGCGGCGGCCCCGGCCCGGCCCTGTGGTGGGTGGGAGCGGCCGGGGCTGGGCCTGTGCTCTGCCCCCTGGCCTGGGCCTGCGGGCCTCGGGAGGGCTCGGGAGGTGCGGGCCGGGCCAACTGTCACTCCCGACCGCCGGGGAGACGCCCGCGCCGGGAGGCGAGGTCGCATCTTGGCGATCGCCCTTGGCCAGCAGACGCCTCCCCGGTTTGTGATGGAGAAACGCGCGGTGGCCCGAGCGTCCCCGAGCTGCGTCCCCGAGAGCCGGGCCGCCTGGTGCTGGCGGGGAGTGGGGGGTGGTGGTGGAGGTGCCGACCTCGGGGAGGTGAAGCCGGCCCCGCGCTTCCCCCTCCCTTCCCCCCGAGCAGCTCAGGGCTCTGGTGTGGACGATAAGACGAGCTGCACAAATAACCGTGATACCGGTCAGGCCAGCGGACGATGAAGTCCTATGTAAGAACTGCGGAGTGCTAGCAGGTTACCGCGGGGAAGACTTGGCCGCCGCCGATCGCTTCCGCCGCGCAGAGATATCCTGAGGCCCTAGTGGCTTTTGGGGGGTTGGGGAGTGCCGGGATGGCGTTGGGGGAGGGGGCCGGTGCACCAGGGGGCAGCCGAGCTGGAGGACGGGGGTGAAGGTGGCATGGGTGGATCAGGGGAGTCGGTGTGCCGCATTCTCGGGGCAATTTAAGAGAGCGCTCTTGTTGCGGGACCCAGGAGCCCGGAAATGTAGGCTTCAGGGTGTGCTCTAGGCTCCCTGGTGAAAGAAATCGGATAGGAGGGGGCCGTGTCCCTTAGAAAGTGACAGCCTCTCGGATGTGCAGGTGGAACCGCGCACCGGCGAAGCCCAGCTTGCCCCTTTTGCGAAGTGCATCCTTGCATGTCAGCGTCTGGGAGGTGCTGGAAAGATGGGGGAGAGGCGAGCCGTGTGCACGCCTTCGTGCGCCCTGGGTGTCAGGGGTTCCTCACGTGGGGCCCACGGAACGAAAACCCAAGTGAATTCTTTGAGATTGCATGTGGGTAAAATCATCATAATCGAGGAAAACAAATTGTTACCATCTGGGATGGAAAGTAGCACATAGACCTTTGTATGGAAACATAGAAAACTGCTTGTTTATCCTCAGGACAGTCAGGACTGGGAGTTTTCAGTTTGTTTTCTAGGTTTTCCCTCCCTGAATTAGTAACAGGTAGTTATTCGCTGTGTAGGGTTTGGGCTCTGAAAGCAGCTTGTAGAGGTGAGTTTTATAAGCACTTTGCTGTTTGTGGGTATGACAAATGAATGCTAGTGTTTTCCAGTTGAAAAAGTGTTTGCTTGTCAGAGTAATAGTACGAGCTTTATAAGAAGCTTATAAAATTCAGGAAGTTCTGGGGGAAAATGTACCTTCTCTCCTGTAGTTTTACCATTTCAATTTGGGTACTGTTAATATTTTTGCATATTTCTTCTCCAATCTTTTCCTTTTTTTTTTCTTAACATAATGAGTTATGCTACATGCATACATCCTGGGATCATCAAAATCATCTTGGCTAAAATGTGTATTATGAAAAACGCATGCATGCTATTCAAAATTTTGCTTCAAAATAAACTTACCTTTTATTTGATTTTTTTTCTCCCAAGAACTTTTTGGAGACTCCTGCGTCTCTCTTATTAACTTTTTATTTCTTGGTTCTACAGCTTTATATAGAAATGTTTCTACCCAAGGAAGACAAGTCCCTTAAACATGCTGTCTGCGTCTGACCAAGCTGTATTATTTTTGCCTCAGGTGAAATCCTAACTGCTGCGGGGCCCAAGAGGTGTCTTGTTGGAAGTGTGTTTATGAACTTGTCTGTGCGGCTTGGGTCCTGTTGCTTTGGGGTCGAGCTTGTACTTGGCCGGATGTGAGTGATGGGGTGGAGGCTGGGATGGAGGAGAATGCAGGGGACTCTGCTGTGGAGGTCCTGGGTGGGGGTCCTGCCTCCTCCCACTCCCCAGAAATCTCTCACCCCTCCTGTCCATGGAGGCCACGGTGAATCGCACAGATCCAGGCTGAGTGTTGAGCTTTTCTGTTGGCGTTTCTTTAGCAGAAGGTGGAGTTGGTCCTGAAGGATCCGATCGGCTGCTGCAACAAAGGGGCTTTTGCTGTCCATGTGCAGGCGGTCCCTCCAGGTCCTTAGCTGCTGAGATGGCAGGATTCTTTCCGGTTCTTTACACCCTAGGAGGTATTAAGAGACTCCCTGTTTTCCTTCTAATCTTGGAAAGTACAGTGTGCAGGTTTTCATAAAGTTAATTTAAAAGAAGACCTAGGAAGGTCCAATTTAAATGTGAGAGTTGCTTTTATTTTGAAACTTACACAAATAAAGTTTTTTTTTTCCCTTTTTTTAAACTAGAAATACATTACATTTTTATGACTGGAATATTTACTAAATATTTGTTGATGACTACCACGGTAACTTGATAAGGGCAGAGTTTGCCTCCAACCAAACCTGGAACAGGATGGTGTAATTCTGGCTGGCCCCTCAGGCGGTGAGACCACCATTGCACCAATGAGGGGCACAGACCCATGTCCCCCCCAGTAAGGGCCGAGGCGACCCCCGTTTCGGCTTCCATGTCAAGGAGAGTTTAAAAGGCCCCTTCCCCATCTCTTCCGTGTTCTTCCTCTGCAGCCCACTCCTTCACGGCTGTCCTTCCTGCCGCACGGGAAGGGAAGCCCGTAACTGCGGTTCCCTGAAATAAAGGCCGTCTAAATGCTTTTCATATATTTGGCTGAGTTATTCTTTCCCTGGCGAATAGCAAATCTAATATTTTGGCCAGCGGCAAATCTAACGTGTGTGTGTGTGTAGGGACATATGATTTTTTGTGGAGTTGTAGATGTCTGTTGTTGCCGCCACACTTTACTAAGAATCTTTTTTCCTGCAGTTTGGTGGCTGAAAACTCAATTTCCCCATCTTCCATAAAAGTACACACTCCAGTTCTCCCCCGATTTGAATCCAGCAGTGGGACGAGCCTTGGTTCCAGGTGCTGTTCTGGTCACCTTTCTGACATTATTTCAGTCCACTTTCTAGAAATCATTTTTCTCTTTTCTGTGGGTCATTTAATTCGAAGTCTGAGTTCATGGGTGCCCTTAGGTGCTTTTGAAATGGGGACAGGTGGAGTCAGGGATAAGGAGGAAACTTTTGTGAGTAACACTGGCTTTTTACAAACTGAACTTTGCGTGACAAAGTTGTGCGAAAGATCAAATCTTGGTGAGCCTCTGGGTTGGATTTCTTGTAGCCTGTTATTTGGGGCAGGAAGATCTTGAGTATGTATCAGTTCAAATCAAGCCAACGAGCCTAATGCACAACCCTTTTGACTTTTATTGGAGGGAGGGAAGGCTTTTCTTGAGTCCTTCTTTGATGAAAGGTGGAATTGAGCTGGGTGCAAATGGCTACTATATGGGAAAGTAGGGACCCTGATCATTGTTCCTTCTGGAACAGGAGGATGGCAGTGTGAGGGAAGGCAACGTGCGGGCAACGTTTCCGTCATTCAGGGAGTAGATGGCCCTCAGAAGGCAGTGTTGCAAGTTGCACTGTTTCTCAGACCCTTCAGGTATTATGAGAAGTTCTGTGGGACTCAAGACAGTCCTGGACTGGTGGGGATGAGGTCAGGTGAACTCTGTTGCCCGCAGCACCTTGTTTGGGGCGCGCGTGACTCTGCATCCTACCGATTCAGGCTCTCTGAGCGTCCCAGTTCTACTGTGCCTTTAACATTTTCTCTTGAAGTGGCAGCTGTGATGTTGCGGGGTGGGGGGGGGGGGGCGGGGAGGGATGGCATGCAGAGAATTTGTAAGAGGTCCACAGGTGTAAAGCAGGGAGTGAAGTCTGTCCTGGCCATGGTGTTGGCTGTAACATCCTTAATACATTGTGCCTGACTTGCGATCTTGGTACAGAATACAGTGGATGCAGAATACAGTGTTTGTAAACTGTGGGTTTGTGTGTGTGCATGGTTACAGAGACCAATACTTAGTGGCAGTCTGTTTTTATGTGGTAATTAGTCCTTGGGAACATCCAGCAGGTAAGTTGTTGAGGACCAAGAAAGTATGCCAACGTTAAGAAATCAGAGCACTTGGATTATTTGAATTAAGTGTTGTATGAGAAACAGTAGACATTTTGTAGCTTGATCTTAATTAAGGTGCTGCTTTGTAACCTTGTCTAATGAATTGTAGCTTGATCTCTTATAGAGTACTATTCACATGTTAATCACTGTTCTCTCCCACCCGGATTAAATGTCAGTTGTATTTAGGCATGAGGAAGAAGTAGGAGGAAGAGGTTTCTGTTGACAGGTCTGTAGTTAAGGCCCATTCTTGGGGTTATGAAATTTGGAGAGGCAGTGCTGTCTGGTGGTTAAAAGCAGATGGGGTGGCTGGGTCATCTGGATTTGACCCCTTGCCCATCCTTCTGTGGGCCCCTTAGCCTTAGGGCACTCTGGCTTAGGTTCCTTGGTTGGGAATGATGAAGACCACATCAGAGAGTTCTGCGATTCAGTGAGCTGCTGTGTCCTCGCGTGCCTAGGGTAGCAGTGGACACAGTAAGTCTGTGGCTAAGGGTGAGGGGAACTGGAACTTCAGGACCAATCCTGTTAGGACACTTCCTTTGGCAAGTAGGAACTCTGAGGAACACTGTAGCTAGAGCAGTTGTGTGGTTAGCTTTGAGCCTGAGCTCTTCCAGAGCTTTCTGTGATAGGAAGTTACCTGGGTAGGACTTAGAGTTGAGCAGCCACAGGACTGGTTCTAGAAGCCGATTTTCTTTGTCTTTTGTTCAATTTTCTAGAATGGAATTGTGATTTCAGTGCCTTCGGTGGACCTTTTCGTGAACGTGTACAAAGATTATATCTGATGTATATTCTAATATTTGTAATACAGGGGTTGTTTGGAGTCAAAAGTTGAAATACACAGTCAAAGGAAATGCACAAAAAATCACTAGGCA